TAGGAATGCTCATGCACAGATTTTTGTGTGAGCATAAGTTTGCATTGCCCTGTGATAACTGTCCAAGCATGTAATTACTGGGAAGTATGGCAATTGCATTTTTAGTTTTACGAGAAACTGGCAAACTGTTTCCAGAGTGAGTCTGCTATTTTATGTTCCTCCCAACAAGGTAGGAGTAGTTTGGTTTCTCTGCATCCAAACCAGCATTTGGTGTTGTCACTATTTTTTATTTTGGCCATTGTGATAGTGTGTAGTGATGTTTCATTGTGGTTTTAATATGCATTTACTTAATGGATAATGATGTAAAACATCTTTCATGTTCTTATTTGCCATCTATATACCTTTTCTATGAAATACCTGTTCTTATCTTATTATGGTAATTTTTTTTTAAATTGGTGAGTTTTGGGAGTTACTTTGATATTGTGTAACTAGTGTTTTGTTGGATATATGGTTTGCAAATAATTTCTTTCTTTCTTCAGCTTGCCATTTTAATTACTTGCTTTCTCTTTGTTTCCTGTGTTTCTCATCTCTTGCCTTTTTGTGGGTTACTTGAACGTTTTTTAGTTTTCCATCTTGATTTGTTATATTGTTTTTGTGTGTTTTGCTTTTTATGGTTTTCCTAGCGGTTGCTGTAAACCAAAAAACCCACTGCTTTCAAGTTGATTCTGACTCATAGTGATACCCGTGGGTTTCCAAGGCTGTAAATTTTTATAGATGCAAACTGCCTCATCTTTCTCCTGTGGAGTAGCTGGTGGGTTCAAACTGCTGACCTTTTGGTTAGCCGCCGAATGCTTTAACCGCTGTGCCACAAGAGCTCCTTAGTGGCTGCTATGTACATATGTGAGTTATCATATTAAATCTACTGATGTCACCTCACTTTGAAATATCGTTGTCTTCGGTGTCAGATGGTGTTTTAGTTTTCGTTTCAGACATCACATATGATTTAGAAAACTTGTGACAGTATTGTATTTACCCATATTTCTGCTCTTTCTTCCTTTATATTGCTGAAGGGTAGTCTCTGGTATGTATGTATGTACCATAGTTTGTTTATCTGTTCACCTGTTGAAGGACATCTGCATTATTCTAGTTTTTGGTTATTAGGAGTGAAGCTGTTGTGAACACTTGCATGGTGGTTTTTATGTGAACACAAGTTTTCATTTCTCTGGGATAAGTGCCTAGGAGTGCAGTTGTTTGCTGAGTCATGTTACAGTGATTTCACGTTCAATTTTATTAGAAACTGCCAAAGTGTTTCCCTCTGTGTGTGTATAACATTTTACATCTCCCTTCATGATGTATGAACAATCCAACTTCTCTACATGCATATTTCTGCTCTTTCTATTATTCCTGATGCTTCAAGATTCCTTTTATCATCACAGCCTTCTGTTTCAGAACAGAGTAGCTCTGTTAGCTGCTCTTTAAGAGTAGGTCTGGTAGCTACAAATATTTTTAGTTTTCTGTTGTTGAAAATGTTTTGCTGGATATAGCATTCACACTTGAGTGTTCTTTTCTTTCAGCATCTTCACCTGCAGAAGTAACAGCAGAAACCCGTAAGGAAAGTGACTCTGACATGATGAATGACTCGGCTGTATTGGAAAATAACAGTGACCAAGATTCTTCCTCCTCAGCTGTCTCCGTGCCTCCACAATATAGTGAGTTTGAAATGATACATACCACACGTGTTGTTGTGGTGGTTATGTGCCGTCGAGTCGGCCTCGACTCATAGCAACCCCTCCTTGGGTTTCTGAGGCAGTATCACTACAGAAGTAGGATTGCCCAACCTTCCTTCCGAGGAATGGCTGGTGGGTTTGAACCACCAGCCTTCTGGTTAGCAGTCAAGTGCCTTAGGCACTATGCTACCAGAGCTCCTGAACCACTACTGTATTCAAGGTAACAAGAACTTTTTGTTTCCTATTTCGTGTACTGGTTTTAGGCAATATTAATGACTTGCATTTGTTGAATACTTATTATATACAAGGCAGTGTGCTAATCACCCAATATGGATCTTCTCCACTAATATTCATAATGACCTCATGATGTTGGTATTTCTGTTATCCCCATCCTATAGATAATGGGACTGAAAGCTAGAGAGTTGAGGTAAGTACTCTGCCCAAAGTCACAGAGCTGCTGAGTAGCATTTCCAGAACTCTAATCCAGTTCTTTCTGACTTCAGAGCTCCTGTTTATGAACAGTCTTCTGTATTGCCTGCCAAGCTACAGTGGTAGAGATGGGACCTTAACTTCCCTGGGCCTCTAAGGGCAAGCTTTCCTATTATGTAGTTGCTTTGTGTCTCTACTTCTAAGCAGCCTCTTTCTCTCTCTCTTTTTTAAAATAGTATTTTATTGTGTTTTTGATGGTTCACTTAGCAGCTTAGGTTCCCATTAAACAGTTTCTACACAAGTTGCTCAGTAGTGACATTGCTTACATTCTCGACAAGATGTGAACATTCTCTTTATTTTTGTTCTGGTTGTTCATTTTCTGCTCATCTAGTTTCCCTCTTTGGTCTCAGGTTTTTTAAAGAAGTATAGTACTTAGGAGTGATGGTCATTATTTTTTGAGCCAATTTGTTATTTAGCCACAAAGTGACCTCAGGGGTTAGTTTCAGTTTCAGTTTAAGATTTAAAGAGTATCTCAGGGCAGTAGTCTTGAGGCGTTTCAACCAGTTCAGTGCATCTAGGTTTTTTTTTTTTTTTTAAGTTCTGTTCCACATTTTTCTCCCATTCTGTCATGGTCCATTTATTGTGGTCCTGATTAAAACTGTTGGTAGTGGTAGCCAGGCAACATCTAGTTCTTCTGTTCTCAGGGTAGATGAAGCCGTGGTTAAGCAACCAATTTCTTTTTACTAATGTCCTAGAACAAGTGTCAGCAATTTTTTTTCTGTGAAGGGCTAGACAATAACTATATTAGGCTTTGTGGGCTATATGGTCCCTGATGCAGCTACTCATCTCTGCTGTTGTTGCATGAATGCAACCATAGACAATATGTAAAACAAATAGGCATGTCTGTGTTTCATTAAAACTTTATTTATAAGATAGGCAGCAGGATTGGCCTGTGGACCATGGATTGTTGACTCTTGCCCTAAAGGAGATCGTTTCCTTTAAATTGTTTTGTTGCCCAAACTACAAGAAACTTCAATAATTGCACTCTTTGTATTAAAATGGGCATTTTGATACATTGCAGTTAGAAGTATTAAGTGATACAATCTTTCTGAAGGGCAGTTTGTATCAAAAGTCATAAAAATATTCATGCCATGTGACTCAGAAAACTCACTTTTAGGAATTTATCCAAAAGCATGACAAAAAAAAGATTGTCATTAAAATTTTGCTGTAAGAATGTCCTTTATAGGGTCATAAAAATTTTGAAGAAAACAAATAAGTAACAATATGGAATGAGTTAAGAGACTCATGTATCCACAGCAAGTAAAGCAGCAAAACAACGGTTAATGAGCATGGGCTCTTTTTTTTTTTTTTTAATTGTGATTTGGATGAAGATTTACAGAGCAAATTCACTCTCGATACAGCAGTTCACATATACTTTGTCTCATGTCATTGACCACAGTTTCCCACAATGCAACAGCTCCCCTCCAACTTCCTCCCCATGGTACCACTTCCCAGTGTCCATCCCTCCATACTCTCCTGCCTCCTAAGCTGTCTCCCTGTGCA